ACTTTGTATGTGGGATGCCGCCACAGCATGGTTTGATGAGCTGCATGTGGGTCTGACCTGGGATCTGAACCCACGAATGTGGGTCACCAAAGTGGAGCAGACAGGACTTTAACCACTGGGCCATGGGGCCGGCCCCTTGGCTTTTATTCTTAACTGGACTACAACATCTTTCTCAAAAGCTTGCTCCCAGACTTCTTCCTTCTTACTGGCCAAGACTGGATATGTGCTCAGTTCAGGGGAATAGCTGAACTTTGACCAGTGATGGCCTGGGGATAGCTCCTCCTTTCTTGTGGGTATTGCTACCCAAATAAAATCAGGTCTTTCAAACCAGGAAAGAAAGAGAAATAACTGTTAGGTAGTGATTATAAGTCATGTTTCCTACCCTCAGAAGCCTGGGGCAGAGGGGACAAAAAAGACAGAAATGATCCACGTCAACTTCTTTCTAAATACCTCTTGATGATATTTACAGTCAGAAAGATAACAGAAGACCTTATCTATGCAATGTATTTAGCAGGATATAATCGGTCTCTTTATTCCTCATGGAAAACATGCCCGGAATGTATGCATTTATGGGGCCTAACCTGCTGAAAAACATTAGCATCAGCTATGTAACTTCCAGAGTATAAAACAAAGATGTTTCCTGACCCTTTGTGTAAGCAATGCCCCACATGCAGCACATAAAGACCCCATATGTTCATTCTGAGCCAGGGTGCATCCTTGGGTGTTAAGGAAGGACCTGGAGCTGCATGGGTCATCCCGACTTCTTCATGCTTTGCCCAAGCCTCAACACCATGTGTATCTTTTGAATTACTAGTAAAGGCCAATACTGGGTAAGATCTCTGGTTCTTGTGAGTCTGATTGAACAATCTGACCATCTGTTTTATCTCAGGTAGATAAACAACAAAATTATCCTCATTTGACAGATGAAGAAATGGCAGCTTAGCAAGATTAAAACCTCACCCATGCTCACCTCATTAGTACTGAGCGGACCAGGACAGGAACCAGTGCTCAGTGACTTTCCACCACAGCGTGTGGCTGACTGGTTGGTGGAACCATTCCCTGAGACAGGAATGTAATCACATGGCTGCCCTCATCTCTGAATACAATTTTATGACATACAGAACACAATTCTGTTGCATTCTGATATAACTGATCTGCTGAGGCCAAAGGTTAGCATCAGACAGCCAGACATTCTTTCCACCTCACTGCCAGGATTTCAGCTGGGTTTTTTTTAAGGTAGCAGCAATTTGCTTTATAGGGAGATGAAGGAGGTTCCAGGGAAGGAGATGTGGTCAGCTCAGTTTGATGTGTTTGTGGGACTCCAGCAGGAGATTTCCGGTAGACATTTGGATATCCAAAACAAGTATTATGCTAAGAAAAATTATCAGGTCTGGAGTTGTAGATTTGGGATCACCAGCATTAGCCGAAATTATGGGAATAGATGAGATGGTGCAGAAAGTGTGTTTGGAGGGGAAAAAAGAAGGGAGCCAAGGAAGGAACCATGAGTAATACTGTTACCACCCAAGGGGGGTCGACTGCCCACTGCAAGACCTGCCAATGGTCAAGAGGCAAGGTGGTAGGAGAGAAAGGACTTTATTACAGCTTGCTAGCAAGGGAGAAGATGACCAACTAATGTCCGAAAGAACCATCTTACAGAACAAAGACTACAGGCCAGTTATATAGGGGGCTGGTCGCCAGGTGGGCAGACGTCTGGTCTTAGTTCCTGATAATCTTTTGTTTTGCTGGATGTGCATCTGAGACTGGAGCAATACCCTATATCCAGAGCTTTCAGTTGTCAGTGATGATGCCTATCAGCATAGACTCTGCTCGGGAGTCACCACATTCCTAAGGAACTCAAAAGAACAAACGTACCAACTTATTACAGCTGGGAGGGGCCATAAAATCTACAGAGCATGTACATCTCCTGGAGGGTTCATATCCAGCTGGGTTGGTCAATCAAAGTTACAATATGGTTTCTTTTCTTCAATATGGCTTCCCTTATGTCAGCCTGTGTGGCACAAGTATCAATACCAATGCTAAAGGGTGAGGACAAACGAGGAGCTCGTCATGTAGGAAACTGAATAAGAGAGGTTAGAGAGGTGTGAAAAATTACAAAACTGTATCACAAAACCCAGGCAAAGGGAGTGTCAAAAAGTGAGTGGTCAACCATCACACTCAGTGAGGTTAAATAAAACAACAGAAAGAGGCTTGTTAGATCTGGCAGGAAAGAGATCCCCAGCCAGTGGCCTTCGAGTGCTCAGGTGAGTGGTGGCCAAAGCTTGACTATCATTGCTTGAGGAGTGGCAGGAGATAAGGAAGTGGAGTGAAGATACCCTGACAGGAAGGAAGAAGAAAGGGGCACACTGAGGCTGACACAGAGTTGAGGACATTTTTTCTGTTAAGAGAAATATTTATATATTTGTGGGTACCAGGAAAAGCTGCCAGTAGAAATGAAAAGATTGAAGTCAAGGTTCAGCAAAAAAAGAGAGAGAGAGAGTACAGCAAGATAGTAAGGGAATGAACTCAAGAGCAAAGGTAGAAAAATTAGCCTTGAAAAGAAGGGAAATTTCTGAGGTGGCTGGGAAAGAATAAGCAGACCTACTTATAACTGGGTTGATCTAGTTTCTGTTGCTGGGAAATGAGTCGAGATGGGCAAAGTTAAATGAAATGTGTTCACATAATCAGCCCGGTCTATATTTACTTCCCTGTAACCAGAGAGGCAGCATATTCCAGTGATGGGGACTCTGAAACCCAAGCTGCTGCTTTGAATTTCACTTCTGGCCATGACATGCTTTTTCGTGGAAGGTCATATTCACATCACTGCAGCAGAATCACGGCAACTGTGCCCCGTCACCATGGCTTATTTCAAAGACTCAGGACATGTGGGACAGATAATTCCAGCACTTCAGTGTCCTTGGAGCCCTAATATTATTTTTATGAACATGACAACAGCCTTGATAATGTGGTGTAAACTGGACTAAGTTTAGTTATTTACCTTATACTTGATTGCATCAAAATAGTGTGTGAGACAGCTAAGAATGAAAGTACAACTGGACAGTTGAAATAGATTAAAAAGGGAAAAACCACAAATTTGTGTGGTTTTTGTGACGCAATTTTTGTGACAAAAATTTGAAAACCCTTTAGGCTCCACAGTAATCACATAAATGTAAATAATCAAAAGCAAAGCCAAATTATTAAATCAATGTGGGGTAGACATTGGGAAAAGAGTAATACTGAAATTGCCAGCGAATATTGAAGATCGTTCAGTTCTTTGACTAACTGCTAACATTTATGGAGCATTTACTCTACGTCAGCCACTATTCTAATGTGTATTATCTAATCTTCACTTAACCCTTTGAGGTAGATCGAGTCACTATTATCATCCCCATTTTCCAAATAAGGAAACTGGGGCACAGAATGGTTAAGGAAGTTGTCCAAGGTCGTGGACTGAGTAAGTGGCCAAGCTGTGATTCAAACCAGGTGGACTGATTTCGAAGCCCTCACTCTTAACTAATACTCTACGCCAGCAGGACCTCCTTACATTCTTAAAAATTATTGAGGCTTTCATGATAAAAACACTCAACAAACTGGGAATAGAAGGAAACTTCCTCAACATGATACAAGGCATTTATGAAAAACCCGGAGCTGACATACTCAATAATAAAAGACTAAAAACTTTTCCCCCAAGATCAGGAACAAGATAAAGTTGCCTGCTTTCACCACTGCTCGTCAACAATACATTACAGGAAGTCCTGGCCAGAGTAATTAGGCAAGAAAAAGAAACAAGGGCATCCAAATTGGAAAGGAGGAAATAAATTATCTTTATTAACAGATAACATGATCCTATATATAGAATATTCCAAAGAATACACAAAAAAACTGTTAGAGCTAATTAACGAATTCAGCAAAGGTGGAGCATACAGGATCAATGCAGAGAAACCAGTTGTATTTCTATATACTAGCAATGAACAATCTGAAAATAATTTTAAAAAAAACAATTCCATTTATAATAGCATCAGAAAGTACAAAATACTTATAATAAACTTAGCCAAGTTGGTGCAAGACTTGTACACTGAAAACTACAAAACATTGCTGAAAGAAATCAAAGATCTAAAAAAATGGAAAGACATTCTGAGTTCATAAGTTAGAAGACTTAATATTGTTAAGGTGGCAATACTATCCACTGCGATCTACAGACCCAGGGCAATCCCTGTGAAAATTCCAATGAACTTTTTTGCAGAAATTGACAAGCTGATTGTAAAACTCATAAGGAATTGCAAGGGGGCCCTGAATAGTCAAAACAATCTTGGAAAGTAAAAAAAAGGAGGACTCACATTTCCCAATTTCAAAACTTACTACAAAACTACAGGAATCAAGACAGTGTGGTACTGACATAAGAACAGATAGATAGATTATTGGAATAGAACTGAGATACAGAAATAAGTCCAAAAATCCATGGTCAATTGATTTTCAACAGAAGTGCCAAGACCATTCAATGAAGAAAAGAATAGTGACTTCAACAAATGCTGCTGGGACAACTGGCTATCCACATGCAAAAGAATGAAGTTAGATCTCTACTTCATACTGTATATAAAAGTTCACTCAAAATGGATCATAGATCTAAATGTAAGAGCTAAAACTATAAAACTCTTAGAAGAAAACATAGGGATATATCTTCATGATTTTGGATTTGATAAAAGATTCTAAGAAATGACACCCAAAACACCAGCAACAAAAGAAAACCTAGACAAATTGACTTAATCAAAAATTAGAAACTTTTGTTCATCAAAAGACACTACTGGGGCTGGCCCGGTGGTGCAGCAGTTAAGGGACCCAGCCTGTGGCTGAGTGGTTAAGTTCGCCTGCTCACATTTGGTGGCCCAGGCTTTAGCCAGTTCGGATCCACAGTGCAGACCTAGCATCTCTCATCAGGCCATGCTGAGGCGGGGTCCCACATAGCAGAGCTGCAAGGACCTACAACTAGAATATACAACTAGGTACTGGGGGGCTTTGGGGAAAAGAAAAAAAAGAAGATTGGCAACAGATATTAGCTCAGGTGCCAATCTTCAAAAAAACCGAAAACAAACAAAAAAAACGACCAGGACAGGAAGAAGGCTGAGACGAGAGGGAGAGAGAAAGGAAGGACAGCGGAAGAAAGAAAAAAACTTTATGTTTTAGTACCTTAGTGGAACTTATTGACTGCTTTGGGGACGAGGGCCCTGCATTTTCACTTTACGCTGGGCCCTGCAAATTCCGTAGCTGATCCTGTATACATATCCTATGGGGAAATAATTAGGCAAGACAGCAGGGTGCTCCTGTCCTCTGTCCTAATAAACCTACAAAAGTAAATTGTTCTAAGCAAATGAATTCGAAGGGGAAAAAACTGTAATTAAAAGTATTTTAACAGATTATTTATTATTATTATAAAAAATACAATCTAAATGATGGATAATAGACAAATGATTGACAAAAGTTAGTCTTTCCTTTACCCTCCAAAATCTACTCCTCCCCTAATATTCTTCATCTCCTCTCTGTCCACTGAAAAGACCTGGAAATAATAGCCAACCTAGAAGCAACGAGCGTCCTTAGAGGCCAGATTCTGGTTTCTAAATATATTTCCCACTAAAGGGAACCGAGGCTCCGTGGAGAAATGGCTGATTCCAGGTCTGGGGCAGGAGAGTACATCCTGACATTCCACAAAGCAAGGAAGCTCTCCAAGACTGCTGTCATTGTGTTATAAGACTCAGAAACCCACTGCTTTGAGCAGGGCCTGGCAGTTCATGCGCCTGAACACCGAAAGAGAAAGCAAGCCCACTGGACACGCGGAGGTGTGGACGCGGACAGGGTTGTTATCTGCTCACCCTCTGTATTGGAAACTTGGCGGCAAGGATGGTCATCCATCTTCTAGCTCAGTACCGGTCCCATGGCTCCAAAAACCGGTTATTGTTTGGGTGGTTAGATAGATGCTGGATGATGAATAGAATAAAAGAGTAAGAGAGATTATAAAATTCTCTTGCTAATAAATAAAGGAATGATTGTGCAGAGTTGCAACGCCAGGAGCTTTCTTTTCTAATTCTATTCAAATTACCAGGAAAATCCCTAAAATGAACTATTTTCAGCAGCAACAACAGTTTAAGTTGGTAAAATCAAGGAAAAATAAACAGAAGAGAGAAAGAGGGCTACAGATGTAGCCACACTGTACTCAGAAGTGCTGAGGGAATGTGGCTCCTTGATTGATCTTTAAGCAATCTCGTCTTACCAGGTCCCACTACTCAGGTGTCATGGAAACAAACGTATTTCAGTCCACCGCAGTACAATTAGTCCAAGGCAGGAATGTGGGCAGTCTCTTTAAGTCAGGCTGCCTCGGAGGCAGAAGGACTCAGGCTGACAGGTGCTACGCTCCTCCTCCAGCTTATCCCTAAGGTAGCATTTGGGTACAGGGAAGAGGCTGATGTGACCTCAAGATATTATGGTCTCAAGCTGGCCGTTCGGTATGTGCAGGCTGGTGACCACTGAGGTGGAACCCTGGCCCTGGCTTCTGGTGACCACAGCTGACCTCTGCAGTTGCGCTAACCTGCAGCCCAGTTTTGTTTCTCTCGATCAGAGCCTAAGGGCTGCTCTCCAGCTGACTCGGCCTCACCTGAGGCTGGCTCAGTTTTCACTGACCTGTGGGCTCCACTGAATTGCTGCCACGTGGTCCATCCAGCCCCTGACCAGGAGGTCCAGGAAGCAGTCACCTCACTCCCACCCAGCAGGTCCATGGCTGGGCTGCTGGCTCTCAATTCTACATTCCCGGGGGCTAAAAGAGGGTCAGAAGTGAACACCAGATCTTCTTCCAGGCCACCCTAATTTTAAACCAGTCACCTTGATAAGGAGGCCAAATATTCACTCTTTCCTGAGCTGGGAAGATAAGCCTTCTGTCTCAGAAAGGGGAGGCCGTAAGGAAGATTATTTAAGAGGGAAATAAAATACACCTGTTTATTGTGTGCAAAAATATTGTCACCAGTAGTCAAGCAAGCAAAAAGTAATCTAAGGACAACGACAGCAAAAAACAGTAAGCACCTAAGAAAAACTTCTTGACTAAATCATCCAGAAGAAATGCAAGAATTTGGAGAAAAAATCAATATCTTTTTGGAAACTCTAATGAAGTCTAACATACACACCAAAATATGCACGAATCCTAAGTGTATAGTTCAGTGAATCTTCAAAAGCAGGTCCACATCCCTAAGTTACCCAGATCCTGAAAGAGAACGTTAACAACACCCTGAACCTCGGCTCACGTCATGTCCATATCTTGACATCTAACCCCAAAGATTAGTTTCTTGTTTTTGAACTTTACGTACATGGAATTACACTGTACATTCTCTTTAGGGTCTGGCTCCTTTTGTTCAATATTACGTTTGTGGAATTCATCATTGCATGTATCAGTTCATTCTGTATAGATTTCCATTGTGATAATCTGCCTCAATTTATGTTCTGTTCTACTGAAGACGGACACTTCGATGCTCTCTAGCTTTTGTTTATTACAAATTGTACTCCTGTGAAGGTTCTTGGGTGTGTTTTTGGTGAACATATGCACATATTTCTATTGGGAACAGCCCCAGGAGTGGAATCTCTAGGTCAAAGATTAAGTGTATATTCACCTTTAGGAGATAATGCCAAGTAAGCTTTCGAATGGTTGTATGAATTTACGCTCCCATCAGGAGAATATGAGCGTTTTGATTGTTCTATATCCTTGCCAACACTTGTTACTGTCGCCAATTAACTTTTGTGTTCTGGTTTTGGTATAGTGGTATCTCGTTGTGGTCTTAGTTTGCATTACCCTGATGATGATGATGTTGAACACCTTTTCGTGTGCTTATTGGCCATTTGCATGACCTCATTAATGAAGGGCCTGTTCAAGTTTCTTGCCCATTTTCTATCCAGTTGGCTTCCTTTCTCTCATCAGTTTACACATTTTGGATGACAGTCCTTTGTCAGATATGTGTGTTGCCAATATCTCTTCCCAATCTATAGCTTCCTTCTCATTCTTGTAATTGGTGTCTTTTGATAAACAGAGGTTCTTAATCTTAATATAGTCCAATTTATTAATTTTTCTTTGATAAGTAAAGTACTTTTGCTTTCCTTTTTAGGAAACTTTTGCCAACTCCAGTATGTTGTCCCATGTTTTCTGCCATAAGATTTTTTTGGCCTTTTGCATTTAGGTCTGGAATGGAATTTTTGTACCATGTGAGGTTCACCATTTGTAAAAGAGATAGTAGAGGACAAGAACAACAGGCTAAGTTTTTTTAAAATTAGTATAAGAAATTCATAATAGGCTACTTAAAGTCATCATTAGAAGCATTGGAAATCAAAATTGATGTAGAAAATCAATGAACACAACAGATTTAACTCAAGAAACATTCAGAACATGAGAGAACCCTATACAGAAAAAAAAAAAAAGAAGAAAATCACTGAACTCCTATTGTAAGCAGAATGGTTTACATAAAGTGTATTTCATCAATTCTAAATGTATCTTTCTTCCCATTTTAACATCTCTGAAATCAGAATGCATCCTATAATTGGTATCTGTGATCCAGTTGGGGCGGGGGGACTATAGATTTAGTCAAATAGAAAATAGTAATGAAATTCTGCAAAAGTGATAGATGATAAAAATATATTTCTAAATAAATCTGAAAGAATCTTTTCAATAAGTATAAAATAAAAACCTTAAGTGACAAAAAAACCCATTGTGGGGCCAGCCCCGTGGCTGAGTGGTTAAGTTCGTGCACTCTGCCTTCGGCAGCCCAGGGTTTCACCAGTTCAGATCCTGGGCACAGACACGGCACCGCTCGTTAGGTCATGTTGAGGTGGCATCCCACACGCCACAACTAGAAGGACCCACAACTGAAAATACACAACTATGTATTGGGAGACTGGGGGAGAAAATGCAGGGGGAAAAAAAAGAAGATTGGCAACAGTTGTTAGCTCAGGTGCCAATCTTTTTTAAAAAAAAAAACACCATTGTGTATTAGTTTAATTGGCAGCCATTTTTGTTTCTTTCTCTTTTTTTTAGGAGTTTCATTTCCCCCCCTCTCTAATGCCCCAGTACATAGTCGTATATTACAGTTGTAAGTCCTTCTAGTTCTTCTGTGTGAGCCGCCACCAAAGCATGGCTCCTGACAGACGAGTGGTGTGGTTCTGCACCCAGGAACCCGGCTCAGGCCACTGAAGAAGACTGTGCCAAACTTTAACCACTAGGCCATCAGACCTGGTTCCCATTTTTGTTTCTTACTGATATGTAAAATGTGGTATGTCTTGTAATCATTGGTGTCCCAGATTCAAGGAGATACAGGATTAACTAATTTATCCTAAACAATGATCTGAAGAAGTAGGCATTACTGTCTATGTTTGAAAAATGAGGGGCCGGCCCCGTGGCTGAGTGGTTAAGTTCGCAGGCCCCGCTTCAGTGGCCCAGGGTTTCGCCTGTTCGAATCCTGGGCGCGGACCTGGCACCGTTCATCAGGCCATGCTGAGGCAGCATCCCACATAGCAGAAACAGAAGGACCTACAACTAGAATATACAACTAGGTACCGGTGGGTTTTGAGGAGAAGAAAAAGGAAAGAAACGAAGATTGGCAACAGATGTTAGCTCAGGGCCAATCTTTAAAAAAAAGAAAAGAAAAAAGAAGAAATAAGTTTAGAGAAAATTAATAAAGTCATAATCAGTAAACGATCAAGCCAGAATTCAGACCCGGTGTTTATTGCACTGGGGGAAAAAGGCAGAACTCAGAGACGACAGAAGGCAGCGTCTGGACTCTGGACCTCAGGAAAAGAAGATAGCCCAAACCTCCACAGTCAATAACTAAAAGTGCAATAGAATTTGAGGGGGAAAATGAGCCTATAAATAGAGTCCTTATTAAAATTAAGTCAGGGAATCCTCTCATGTTTATTTAGATTTGAAATCTTCCACAAAAAAAAGTAAAAACAAAAAATTAAGTCAGAAGCTGACACCATGCTGTTTTCTTTTCTTTTTTTTTTTTTTTTTGTGAGGAAGATTAGCCCTGAGCTAACATCTGTTGCCAATCCTCCCTTTTTTCCTTGAGGAAGACTGTCGCTGAGCTAACGTCTCTGCCAATCTTCTTTTATTTCAGTGGGACGCCACCACAGCATGGCCTGACAAGCGGTGCTAGGTGTGTGTCCCAGATCCGAACCGAGGAACCCCAGGCTGCCGAAGCAGAGCACGGAACTTAACCACTACACAATCAGGCTGGCCTAGAGACCATGGTGTTATCAAATTGCACTTAGCAAAGTTTCTCAGAAGAGAGATTACTTTTAAAAATCCAAGTCAGAAATGCCTTTGCTCCTTCTGAGGGCCCCATCAAGACCAGACACAATGGGACCACATCTGCAGGGCGTGGGAGGGGAGGGGATGAGGGTGGGGGTTATTGCAAAGGGCTGTCTTCTCAGAAAAGCTGTCATCCACAGAACAAGGTGACACCAAGACATTCTCAGGTCTGCAAAGTCTTGGAAAACTTACTAATCAAATGCCTACACTCCCTAACTTGTTCAAAGGCATATATTACTTACTTTAAAACATTTAAATACAGCTCTTACCATGTGTCAGGCAATATTCCAAGTGCTTTATGATATTATCTTATTTAATCTTCATAGCAACTCTGTAAAGTAGATGTCATAATCCCCATTTCACAGATAAGAAAACTGAGGGGTAGAAAGGTTAAGCAACTTGCCCGAGGTCACACACCAACGAGAGGCAGAGTTAGAATTTGAAGTTGGGCGATGTGACTCCAGAGTGTGTGGTCCACCCGTTGGGCTAGCCTGACTCTCCAAATTGTTGGATAAAATCAGAGTGAATTAAAAATGGAATTTTTGAATGAGAAAGTTGTTAAAAATAAGTGATGAGGTAATGTCAGAAGAAGGAGGAGGAGGAGGAAAGTGATGACCAAAAATAATAACCCCAGTGCTTACGTACGTATGTTTATTGGTATTATTGTGGCCTCTGCACATACTGTCCTCAGATGGCCCTGACTTCTATTTCTACCTAATTAAGAAACCTATCTTCCCTGCACACTCCTCTTTATTTAACAAGCCGCTGTACATACTTTAGTTAAAAATCTAACATTTAGGGGCCGGCCCAGTGGTGCAGCGGTTAAGTGCACACGTTCTGCTTCTCAGAGGCCCGGGGTTCACCTGTTCGGATCCCATGTGTGGACATGGCACCACGTGGCAAGCCATGCTGAGGTAGGCGTCCCACATATAAAGTAGAGGAGGATGGGCATGGATGTTAGCTCAGGGCCAGTCTTCCTCAGCAAAAAGAGGAGGATTGGCAGCAGATGTTAGCTCAGGGCTAATCTTCCTCAAAAGAAAAAAAAAAATCTAACATTCAGTTTGGTTCTACTGGCCCAAAATAATTCATGTTCTTACAGAGTCCGAGGTAAGAGGAGAAATTTTGACATAAGACAACAGATTTGAGAAGTCCATGACAATTTTGTAGCATCTGGGGTTTCTATGAAAAAATAATGAGAAGGCAATAAAGACAAACCATGCCTGGGGCTCTGGTGCCAGCCAACTCAACAGATGTTTGGGTTAAGAAACGAGGAGGATTTGCAAGTTATAAACCTCAGCTTCTCCAAGTTCCTGTCACAGAAAGCTGGATGAGAAGAAGTATTACCGCCTGAGGGAACCTACGAGATAGGACTTTTCTCCCTCCTGGATCCAAAAAAATAAAGGGCATGGACAGTACCTGCTGTTCCCCCCCGCTAGTCAAATACCTTAGCGAGAAGGTGCAGAGAATCTGTTTGGGATGGGTAGACATGCCCCCTATTCCTCAGACAGGTCGCAGACTCATCTGTGTCTCCGCCATTACATTCTTCTTCAAGTCCAGAAGAGAGTGGCTCCTGGGTGAAGGCAGAGAGAGACATTCTTCATGGAGACGAGGCACGTCTGAGAAAGAGCTGTGGACTTAGAGAACTTGAGTTGACTCTGTGAACTGAAAGGCCATGCTTTCCCCTCTTCTTGAAGAAAAGTCTGACCAGGTGATGATGGGAGTCAAGTGTAGCCAAGAGACCTCTCAGAGAAGGACAAAGAAGAAGCAGCAGATCCACTGAGCGTCCAGTGGAGACCCTGGCAACCATGCACAGTGGGGAGTGGTGATGGTGCAGGTAGTGAATGAGCTGGGCTCGGGCAGCTGGAGCAGAAGGGGACAGTCAAGGCAGGAGGAAGTGGGGAGGTGCTCAGGGAAACATGCCGTTAGAGCCTGAGGAGGCGGGACAGCTGACAGGACAGTGGAGAAGGACGAAAGCTGAACGGCTCTGTTCTGTCTGAGCCCGGAAAGCAGAACGTGGGAAATCCTGGATGGAAGAGGTCAATGTGGGGTCGGGAAAAGGGAAGGAAAGACGGCGGAAAAATCAAGCTGATTTAGACGAGGGGTGAGCCTCCACCTGTCCGTTGGTTTTTACTTCCGGGGGCCATGCCTCTGGGAAAGGTGTCTCAGAAACTCTTGACCCTGAAAACGGAGGGGAGGTTGCATTTTAGGTCAACCACATCTTTCTGAAAAGTGTCACTGCTTAGTTGGAAAAGGTGAAGTGTGGAGAGAAAATTACCCTAAGGGCTCGAAGATCTTCGAATAAGACTCAGCTGTGTGTTAGTGTCCTCATAGTGAAGGTTGGTGGAGGCTGGGGCTGCTTTAAGATTTATGAGAAGCGCAATCTTGGGCCCTTCTGACTTTTCCCCTCCCTTGTTCCCTGGAGCTCAAACTCAGATCACGGGCATAATTGCAGCCTTAGGAGCAGAGGGTGTTATTTCGCATGCTTATCAGTCTCTGCTGGACACGTGAGTCTCTCTCTGCCTTTAGCTTCTTGACCTTAGCTTCTATTTACAGCTACAATGCTCATCTTTTCAAATGGGGTGTAAGCCAATAGCAGCTACATTTTCATGCACTCCTGAAATATAAAAATCCTAAGGACAAAATTGCCTTTATGTATTTTTCAAATGTCTTCTCTTTCTTTAGCATTAAATTAATTTCCAAAATAGATCTCTTCCTGCTTCTTTCTCCTGACTGCCTTTTCGAGAGTTTTACTAAATGGTTTTTGCCAGTAGGTCTTTTTCTTCTAAGTCCTCACATTTGTTCTAATTATAAACCAGCACACATGGTGACATATATTACTTTCCTAGGCTGAATTCCAGAAAGCGATGACAAGCAAAGAAAGAAGAGCTCCATAAGTAAGCTGAATTTAGTCTAGGGTATGGCAAATTGTCTTTGCGGCTGCATTTTTTAAAAAAAATCTAAAAAGTTTTATTTCTAGCGGAGCAGGTCTCAATGGGTTTCCCTCTCCTACTAAATTATTAGCTTCTTTGGGGCAAGTAATGTGTTCTAGTCAGCCTTGCAGTCTCACCTCCAGAGCCTTGCACACGGGAATATGAGCGTTGCACTGAATTAGATTGCCTTTAGTCAAGTGCAAGGTGACACATGACAGCATTTCAGAGGAAGTCAGAGAAATAACTTGCATCTTATGACATAGACATGCTAGTGTCCTTGCTACCGTCTACCAGTTAGCTAATTCAAAAATTGTATGTAGTCAAATCTCGCCAAAAAAAAAACCTCTTTCTTATCCTCAAATAAGAAAATTAATATAAAGTGGGAGGAATTGCTCACAATCCCATCACCCTGCAAACCATCAATTTAATGACTCTTTTTTATACATATAATACAGACATTTAAAACAAAATGATGTACTCCGAGCCCATAAGACAAAATGGTATGCGTCTTGTTCTGTAGCCTGCTCTTTCACTCGGCATTATGGGTTGAAAACACTTTCTCATGTCAGTAATGTTCTTCTACAGATATTTACTGCTCCATCATATGATCGACTATAACATGATTTACCTAATCAACTACTATCTGTCTAGCTTGTTTCCTTTTTTTTTTTTTGAGGAAGATTAGCCCTGAGCTAACTACTGCCAGTCCTCCTCTTTTTGCTGAGGAAGACTGGCCCTGAGCTAACATCTGTGCCCATCTTCCTCCACTTTATACGTGGGACGCCTACCACAGCATGGCTTGCCAAGCAGTGCCATGTCCACACCTGGGATCTGAACCAGCGAACACCAGGCTGCAGAGAAGCGGAATGTGCGCACTTAACTGCTGTGCCACCAGGCCAGCCCGGTTGTTTCCATTTGTAAAAATTATTATAATGCTTTGACATCCTTGTTGTTTTTTAATTCTACACCTAGCTCTTATTTCCTCAGGATAAATTGCCACAGGCAGAATTGCTGGGATGAAAGATACATAGATTTTTGGCGGCTGGCCCCATGGCCCCATGGCCTACAGGTTAAGTTTGGTGCACTCCACTTTGGTGACCTGGGTTCACAGGTTTGGATTCCAAACTGTGGTGGTGACTCACATGAAAATTGGAGGAAGATTGGCACAGATGTTAGCTCAAGGCTAATCTTGCTCAAGCGGAAAAAAAAAGGAAGATTGGCAACAGATGTCAGCTCAGGGCTTATCTTCCTCAGCAAAACAAAAACAAAAACAAAAAACAATAGGGAAAGATTGGCATAGACATTAGCTCAAGGCTAATCTTCCTGAAGCACAAAAAGAGGAAGATTGGTAGCATATGTTAGCTCAGGGATAATCTCCCTCAGTCAAAAAAAGAGATACATAGATTTTAAACTGCAGACACACATTTCTGAATTGCTCTTCATGAGGGTTATGCTTCTGTGCATTCCCTGTTCATGTCCTTTGTCTATTAAAAAAAGGAAATGGCTGGGTATTTGTCATTGATTTGTAAGGGCTCTTTATATATTAAGGATGCTATCCTTTTGTTATAAGTCATACAAACATTTTCCTAGTTTGTCTTTTTACTTTTAATATTATCATGTTTTATTTGTAGCTGGACAGAAGTTTAACATTTTTAGGTAGTCAAATCTTCTAGTATTTTTATTTTGTGGATTTCGTCTTTGGTGTTATGTTTAGAAAGGCATTCTTCACCTCAAAACCAGATCATTTCACTTGCACTTTATTTTGGTTCTTTTTTGGCTTCTCATTGTTCTCCTTCTTTTTCTTTGTTATTGTTGTCTTCTTTAATATACAGATTTATTCTTTCAGGTATATATTTTGTAGTAGAGAGTGAAATATAATCTAACTCCAATAAATAATATATATAATTGAGTCTGTTTCTGGACTTCGTAGTCTCTGTACTTATCCTTCTATTGTTTCTATATCAGTAATGTATAATAGATAATGTTTATTGAGCACTTACTCTGTTGCCAGGCTGTTCTAAGTGCTTTCCAGAGGCTGGCCAGTGGCACGGTGGTTAAGTTCATACACTCTGCTTTGGCAGACCGGGGTTTGCAGGTTTGGATCCTGGGCACTGACCTAGCACTACTCATCAAGCCATGCTGTGATGGCATCCCACATAAAATAGAGGAAGATTGTCACAGATGTTAGCTCAGGGCCGGTCTTGCTCACCACAAATAAATAGATTAATTAATAAATGCTTTCCACATGTTAATTCAGTTAATTCTCACATCAGCTCTAGGCAGAGGGAGATTCATCATGAAACTGATGAAGCTTAAGCTTCAGGGCTCTTCACTTGCACAAACCTCCCCCCAGACCCCAGGAGGGGCCCTAGCAATATATTCACACAACGTTATATTTTTGTAAAATTTTCAAAATAAGGTATCTTAACGACAGTGGGTTAAGACTGCTGTTTCTGACAACTCTTCCATCACGATTCCCCTGTGTCAATGGGGGCATTTAAGGAGGCTCTGGCATTAAGGAGAAGCCGAGTCAGGGATCCATTTCATGTAGCATATCCTTACGTGGTTATCAGTCACTTTTGCTAGGTGTCCGTGACAGGAACAGGTTCCAGGAATGCTCCTGCTGCCAATTGTGCCAGCTTGCTCAGAATCGTGACACAAAGGTGCAGGGCCAGAACCTTCGTTATAATATAAATGGCTCCTCTGGGACCCAGCCCCAGAAGTATGTGGGTAGTGGAGAAAAACCAGGTTAAAAATAAATCGCAACAGAAGCTAGTCTGTGAAAAAAATTTTCCAATCCATCAAAAGATGAAGGATTTGGTTCTTATTAACACTTGGTCAAAACAGAAGTCCTCTCTTGTCAGGGATATTCTTGATAATTCCTTGATTACGATTATAGATAATCATACTCTTTTGTGACAGGCATCACACAAAGTAGGATTTATTGGAATTCCTGTTTGTAGGGGACAAATTTGTAGCAGTACTGTAAATGTCTGTCACAGCTTGTTCAGAAAAGAAATGTCAAAGAGGGTTTCCCAGATTTCGCAGTAACCTAAAAAAATGTGCATGTTATCAGTAAGAAGTCCTGAAACTGAAGAAACTTCTCTAAACAGCCAATAATAGATTTTTTGATCCCACTAGAGGAAAAACAAGTCATTTTTCGGTTCTCTCTCTAGAAAATGATATTCCAAAATCATTTTCATGTAAAGAGACAATCAAAGACTATGAAGCCAAAACTGCAGGGGAAAAGGATTCTAGAAATGTTTCAGGCAGTTACTTATCCGGCTGTTGGTCCTGACTTCTCTCTACCTTAGTTTCCTCACCCCTCAATTTATTATTAGATCATAATAAAAGCTGTATCATAGAGTCAGGAGTGGATCCAAGTTTTATGGGTCTGAAGCTTATCCAATTGTGTGTGAGGGGGTGCTTTTCAAGAAAAAAAATTTCAAGAAAAAAATCTTTTTCTAAAGATTGTGTTATTTGCCGCATTTTTGCTGTTTGTGATATTTATCAGCTTTTTTAAAATGCATGATTTGTTATGATTTTTTTCTCATTATAAATAAATACTCTTCTAACTAATTTTTCTAATAATTTCAAACATATAGAAAAGTTTGAAAGACTTGTAGAATGAAGACCCATATAGCCCAATTTTCTGTCTAGTTTTGAAATTTTTTTTTCTTGAAAAGCACCCCCTCACACACAATTGGATAAGCTTCAGACCCATAAAACTTGGATCCACTCCTGACTCTATGATACAGCTTTTATTATGATCTAATAATAAATTGAGGGGTGAGGAAACTAAGGTAGAGAGAAGTCAAGACCAACAGCTGGATAATACGTTGTCACATAGGAGTATTGCGGTACAGTATAATGCCCTGTTAAATTTTGTATTATTTCAGCTGTATAACTCATTTTAACTTATCTTTTTAATCTTCCTTCTTCACTGGACAATACAACTTGAAGTGCTTCCACATCAGTAGACATAACACTACCTCATTCTTTCTAACGGCTGTGCAGTGTTCCATTACATGAATATACAATAGTTCAACTGGTTCTTTCTTGGTGGAAATACCAATCTTTTATTTTTACAAATAAAGCTGTCATGATATCCATGTGCTTGTGTCATTTCACAAATATATTGGAATCAGATAAATATCCAGGGGGGAAACTATTGTGTCAAAGGATATGTGGGGATGTCTTTTTGACACTTGGGTCAAGACGTCCATATTTGAGCGGTAATTGCCAGTGCCATTTCATTACATTGAACTCCCTTTGAATTACTTGAATAAGTTTTACTTAGTTGTGGTTACTTATGCTTTTAATTAGTGCCAAACTGATTTGCTGTTACTTTATTTGAGATTTTCACATTATGTTCGTATATAAGATTGGCTGACAGTTTCCCTTCTGCGAGCTCTCTCGGTTAGGTTTTGGTATCAGCGTTAAGCTAACTTTATGAAGTGAATTTGGAAATTCATCATCTAAGCTCTCACTAGTTTACTTAGCATCTAGCCTTTGACATTTGAAGGCATTCCACTCCCAAACTGCCTGGCATGGGAGGATTTCCACAATGTAGTAAGTGAAAAAAAGCAAGTTTCAGAACAATGTGCGTAGTACGATACCATTTTATTTTTTAAAAATTGTACTTAGGGGTGTATGTGTTAATATGGATAGATAGATATAGATATAAATAAGATAGATATAGATATAGATAGATAGATATAGATAGATAGATAGATAGATAGATAATGTTCTTAAGTATACAGGAAAAAGTTAAAGAGTATATATATCAGACAGACAAGGGTGGTGATCCCTGTAGGGTGGTTGTACAGGAAAAAGGGCAAGAACTGTCGATCTTTATACATTAATCTCTAGATATTCTTCCACAAGTTTTTCACATTTTATTTACTTTTCTATTGAGGTATAACTTACATATAGTAAAGGACACAAATCTCAAGTATAAAGCTAAAAAGTTTTTACATATGTAAATACCTGTAGCCGATTGTATTTGTAAAGATGACTTAACAATGTCTCCAATCCCATGTGGCATCCTCACCATGAGCCTTGCTGCTCTGCCATCAAGAGAAGATGGTCCTCTCCTTTTGAACCCAGGCAGGCCTTTGTGACCACCTCAACAAACGCAGTGTGGAGGTGATATGCTGTGTGACTGTCAAGGCTAGGTCATAAAAGGACATGGAGCCTGTCTCCTGGCTCTGTCACGCGCGGGCTACTTGCCCTTGGAGCCACCATGTTGTGAGGAAGCCCAGTCTCATGGAGAGGCTCATGTGGAGAGAAACCAAGGTCCTGGGCCCTCAACTCCGACTGACCTCCCAGCCAACAGCCAGAACCAATTTGCCAGCCACGTAAGTAAGCCTTCTTGGAAGCGGGGCCTGTAGCCCTCAGTCAAGCCGCCCCAGATGACTCTGGGTGGAGCAGACATGAGCCTTCCCCATTAAGCCCTAACCACATTGCAGATTCATGAGAAAAACAAATAATTGTTTTAAGCTGCTAAGTTTGGGGCTGCTTTGTTACACAGTAATGGAAAACCAGAACAACACCCATGTAACTGCCACCAGTTCTAGATATAGAACATTTCTGTTATCCCAGAAGGTTCCCTCATACACCCTCCCAGTCAACAGCCCCCCGAAAGGTGACTGCTGTTCTGACCTCTAGCACTGCACATTAGTTTTGCCTATTGTGATGTTTCACGTAAATGGAATCACGATGCATTTTTTGTGTCTGGCTTCTTTTGCTGAACGTGGTTATGAAATTAATTCACACTGTTACAGTATGAGGGTTTTTCATCTGTTGTATGAACATACCACTGTTTATCCATTCTACTCTTGATAATCATTTAGTCACTTATTATGAATAAAGCTGCTGTGCACATTCATGTGTTTTCTTTTGGTAGGGGGATAAGTACTTGCTTCTGTTGGACAAATACCCAGGAGTGGAATGGCTGGGTCATAGGATATAGGTACGCTTAGCTTTAGTAGTGGTGTGGTTTTAAAATATGTCCATAAATTCTTTGATACTGCTCCATCAAGAGGTGGGATCTATATCCCCATCTTTGAATCTTTGCAAGAATCCTACTAAGTTTGTTTAGTGAGAATGCCCTTGCCATTTAGCTGATTACCCCTGAAATCCTATCAAGTTTGCTATTCCCCACCATTGATAACTGATCACCCTGGCTTGCCTTCAGCAAGAATTTGAAGTTAGTTTAGCAAGAACTCCGCTACCCTTGACATTTCCTCTTAGTAATTTTCCATCTACTGACCCCTTCACTTTGCTTGTTGGCTATAAATCCCAGCTGTCATTCCTGATTTTAGTAATTTGAGTCTTCTCTCTTTTTTTCTTAGTCCACCTAGCTAAAGGTTTATCAGATTTGCTGATCTTTTCAAAGACCCAACTTTTAGTTTCATTGACTTTCTGTTCTATTTTTCTGTTCTCTATTTTGTTTATCACTGCTCTAATCTTTATTATTTCCTTCCTTCTGCTGGCTTTGGGTTTAGTTTGTTCTTCTTTTTCTAGTTCCTCAAGTGGTAACGTTAGCTTGTTGATTTGAGATCTTCCATGTTTTTTAAATTTTTATTTATTTATTTTTTTGGTTGAGGAAGACTAGCCTTGAGCTAACATCCACTGCCCATCCTCCTCTTTTTTGCTGAGGAAGATTGGCCCTGCTCTAATATCTGTGCCCATCTGCCTCTACTTTATATGTGGGACGCCTGCCACAGCACGGGTTGACAAGCAGTGCGTAGGTCTGTGCCCAGGATACAAACTGGTGAACCTCAGGCCACTGAAGTGGAGCGCACAAACTTAAACACTATGCCACTGGGACGGCCCCTCGTGTTTTTTAACGCAAGCATTTGTAGCTATAAATTTCCCCCTTAGCACTGCTTTCATTGTATCCCATAAGTTTTGGCATATTGTGTTTTCATTTTCATTCGTCTCTAAGTATTTTCTAATTTCCCTTGTGATTTCTTCTTTGAACCATTGGTTGTTTAAACATGAGTTCTTTAATTGCTACCATTTTGTGAACTTCCCAGTTTTCATTTTGTTATTGATTTCTAACTTCATCCTGTTGTGGTCAGAGAAGATACTTAGCATAATAATATCTGTCTTTTCAAATCTTTTGAGACTTAATTTGTGTCCTAACATACGATCTATCCTGGAAAATGTCCCACGTGCACTTGAGAAGAATGTGTACACTGTCGTTGTTGGGTGGATTGTGCTGTGTACCTCTTAGATCTAGTTGGTTTATTGTGTTGTTCAAGTCCTCTATTTCCTTACTTATCTCCTGTTGAGTTGTTCTATCCATTATTGCGAGTGGGATATTGATGTCTCCAACCATTATTGTATTATTATTTCTCCCTTCAAGTCTGTCCGTTTCTGCTTCATAAGTTTCCAGCCATTATTTCTTCAGATATTCTCTCTGCCCACTTCTTCCTCTCTTCTTCTAGGATTCCCACATGTATATGTTGATTCGTTTTATGATGTCCCTCAGGTTCTCTTTGCTTTTCTTCAGTCTTTTTTTCTTTCTGTTCTCTGCCTCAACAATTTCTATTGTCTTGTCTTCAAGTTTGCTGATTGTTTCTTCTCCCTGCTCAAATCTGCCTTTGAATTCCTCTAGTGAATTTTTCACTTCAATTATTGTACTTTTCAGCTCCAAAATTTCTTTCTGGTTTCTTTTTAGGTTTTCTTTCTCTTTATTAATATTTCCATTTTGCTCACACATCGTTTTCTTGACTTTCTCCACATCTTCCTTAAGTTCTTTGAGCATCTTTAAGACAGTTGTTTTAAAGTCTGTCTAGTAGATCTGCCATTAGCTCTTTTTCAGGGACAGTTTCTGTTGATTTATTTTTTTTCCTTGAATGAGCTATACTTTCCTATTTCTTTGTATGCCTTGTGATTTTTTTGTTGAACACTGGACATTTGAATCTAGTAATGTGGTAACTCTGGAAATCAGGTTCTCCCTCTTCCCTATGGTTTGCTGAATTTTGTTACTCTTTCTATATTTTTTTCCGGGAGGGGGGGTGTGGTGAGGCAGATTGGCCCTGAGCTAACATCTGTTGCCAATCTTCCTCTTTTTGCTTGAGGAGGATTCCCACTGAGCTCACATCTGTGCCAATCTTCCTCTATCTTTTTGTATGTGGGACACTGCCACAGCATGGCTCGATGAGTGGTGTGTAGGTCTGCACCCGGGATTCGAATCCAAGAACCCTGGGCCACCAAAGTGGAGCGTGCAAACTTAACCACTATGTCACTGGTCTGGCGTCTGTTTTTGTATTTTTGATTGCTGTAAGCTATCTCTGCAAAGGATAAGCCTGAAGTGTAAACTTAAGGTCTTCTCTCAGTCTTTCCCTGGGTTTGGACGGTCACGTTCTAATTTTCCCCATATATGCAGTTGTTTTTAATGTACTAATTTTTAATGTCTCCCCAAAGAGGAAAAAGTGAAAAATGAAGGAGGGGGTAAAAAAGGATGCTGGTTCTTTAAATCCCCTGGAAGTCACTTCAGCCAGAGGGGCAGAGGCTTGCAACAACAGAGGGGGCGTGTAACAACAATTGCTACCAGCCTCTTTGTCTACACCTCTGTGTTCAGAAGCAGAAATCAGAGCACAGATCCCTGATATTTGGAGGACAGGATCCTTTTTGCACCCCCTGGCTCCCACAAGCTGTGTGCAAGCTGCTCCAGGAACATGTGTACAGCTGCCTGCCATGCAGCTGGGGGTGAGCGGTGGGTAACTGCTACTGTGCAAAGAGCTGGAAATCACAGCCATTTACTGTCCAAGTCTTCCTCTAGAAGTCACAAGCCTTCAACATACCCCAGAGTTCCAAAATAGTTAGAATCAGACAGATTCTGCCAGTGCAATTGTTGTCTAAGTGGGAAGACAGATTCCCAGTGCTTCTCACTCTGCATCTGCCCAGATTCCTCCACTTCACTTATTTTTATTATTTCCAGTTTAGTAAAGAAAGTGGTTTTGGCTATTCTTTAGCCTGGAGCTCAGCTTTGACTGCATTCCATAAGTTTTGATATGCAGCGTCCTCATATTTTCTGCTATTAAATTATGACTTTATTGTTTTGTACCAGATAATACCTGCGCTATTTTTGCTTTGGTACATTTGAGGGTTTTGTGAGATTTAAAATATTGTCAATTTGGGGTAACATTTAAAAAAAGAGAATCCATGAGTCCACACTGACATTCAAAAACAGAGACAGAATAGAGGAAGAAGGAGGAAAGCAAAGGGAAGGCTCTTCTTTGCAGAAGGTCAGCTGTTAGATGCAGGGAGTTCCAGGCTCAGCCTCGGAAACTACACCAGAGCAGTGTCCTCTGCAGTGGTGACTTGGACATCACTGGGGTCGTGGGCTGTGAGGAATCATGCCCTCCAGCCCCCTCCACTGCCAGGCGAGAAACCCCTTGCGGGATGGCCTGGGGACCAGTCTTAGGACACGAGGGGGCCGCTGCAGCTGGCAGAGAGGGGAGGGAAGGAAGGGCAGGAGCTTCGGGCGCCCGCAGATCTGCAGAGGCGCCTCGGGCTCGGGCGTGGCCGCGCGCGGCCGCAGCAGCTCCTCCTCCTGGAGCTCGGGCTCCGCCGCGCTCCGCGCGCCCAGGACGCGGCGGGCAGGCCCCCTAACGCCTGCTCGCGCAGCCGCGCGCGCCTCCGCCTCCCGGCCCGGCGGGGGCGCGCACTCGAGCATCGGGGGCGTGGCCTCTGGTGGGGCGTGGGCGTGGCCTCGGTGGGGCGGTGCCGGCGGCCGCGCGCGGCGCCGGAAGCGCCTTTCCCGGAAGGCAGGGGGGCGGTGCCAGGCTCGGGGCGGCCTCGGCGATGGCGGCCGGGCGGCGGGTGCTCTCTCCTTAGGCAGCCGCCGCGCCGCCGCAGGATGGCGTCGCTCGGGCCGACCGCTGCGGGCGAGCAGGGCGCGGGCGCGGAGGCGGAGGCGGGCGCCGCGGGGCCGCCGTCGCCGTCCTCCCTGGGGCCCCTGCTGCCGCTGCCGCGCGAGCCGCTCTACAACTGGCAGGCCACCAAGGCGTCGCTGAAGGAGCGCTTCGCCTTCCTCTTCAACTCGGAGCTGCTGAGCGATGTGCGCTTCGTGCTGGGCAAGGGCCGCGGCGCCGCCGCCGCCGCCGGGGGCCCGCAGCGCATCCCCGCGCACCGCTTCGTGCTGGCGGCCGGCAGCGCCGTTTTCGACGCCATGTTCAACGGCGGCATGGCCACCACGTCGGCCGAGATCGAGCTGCCCGACGTGGAGCCCGCCGCCTTCCTGGCGCTGCTGAGGTGAGCGCGCGCCGGGCCCGCGCCGCCGCCGGGGATGCTGCGGGAGGAGGCGGCTGCGACAGGGATGCCGCGGGAGGAGGCGG